GGCCTCTCTGGACCGTCTTGGGGCCCTCTTGGGGCGCTACAGGGCCGTCTTGGAGGCCTTGTGCGAGTGCCGTCGGAGCCTTGGGGCAGCTCTAACCCAGCCTCCTGCAGCTGGACGGAGGCATACTGCGTCCAGGCCCCATCAAACGCAAGGGACATGTTCATGTGCGCTCCGAGCTGGAAGCCAGGAACGTCTGCGTTTCTGACCCAGCGCTATGTGTCCATAACGGAGGATGACGATTAATAAATGACTGGGGGTCGTGTTCACGCGGCAGCGCCCGGGATGACGATTAGAAAAGTCAGGCCGCGGGCTGGAAAACTATGTTTTATCGTTCTCCTCCAGTCAGAAAATTACGCAGGAATCGCAGAAAACTATGTGTTTAATCGTTCTCTCCCGTTTTTTTATTAATCGCCATCCCGCATCATGTGGGCCTCCTGGCTTCTGGCAGGGTGCTCCGACGTAGATGCTGCTGTCGACCTGCCGAGGTGCGAAGTTCTCGGCAGAGCAGCGCAGCGGCCTCGTGGCCATTCGCACACCGCCGGCAGAAGCAGCCAGCACTGCTCCGCGTGCCTTCCGTCATTACAGTGCCGTTTTTGATACATGCGCTGCGTGCGGATCATGTACTGAAGATGCAGAGATTGAGTATCAAAACAACGACGAGTTCATGCATACACTCATTCATAAATTAATCATGTAAACATCCGATGTATTAAAAGTTGCCCTGTAGGCCGGAGTGGACATTCACGAGCTCGACGGCTTCGCCGCAATCTGCGAGGGGAGGGGGTGCCGGAGCAAAGGCCAGCACAGCCGATATTCCGCCAGTACGATTTTTGTTCAAAGCTCTACTATCCTCGTCAAAATTAATCTCAAAAGTTGTTGGCACGTCATTTCGATTTCGGCGCGCCCCTCAATGTCGACACGCCGCCCCTTCAATGTCGGGGCGAGGGCAAAGATGATCTGACCGAAGTTGACTCGAAGGTTTGACGTCGACCGACATTGGAGGGGCGGCGCATGCAAGTACCCCGCACTCATCGATACTTTGCCCCAGATCTTCCGACAAGCAGTTCAACCACGTCAGACATTTTTGAGGTTATTTTTGACGAGGGTTGTAGCAAAGGCTTTATGCATGGCGTCGGACGAGGAAGCGCCACCTCGTTCGTTTGAGTCCCTCCCTTCGTTGCCCATCGGATTCCGTTGGTGGCGACGTCCTGTCGGATGCGCTTAGATGGGAAAAGAATGCTGTCCCGGATGGCGGGGCAGAGAACCAACTCCTTGCATCTCGCAGACGCCACGGGCCCCCTCCCCCCCCCCTCCGCCTGCAGCGCGGGTTTGCGATGAGAACGAGCCGCGACCCGCCCGCGTCCACTCCTGATCCTCCTCTTCCTCATCCTCCTCCTCCTCCTCCTCCTCCTCCTTCTCCTCCTGCGCCTCCTCCTCTTCCTCCTCCTCCTCCTTGTCCGCGTCCTCCCACCCCCCCCTGGGCAGGATCCTCATCCGTGTCCTCCTCCTTCTCCGATATTTCTCTTCCTCCTCCACGTCATGCTCCTCTCTCCTCATTTTTCATTCCGTTGTCCTTCTACCTCATCTGTCATCATCTTCCTCATCCCTCCTCGTTCGTCCTCCCCGTTCTCCTCATCCTTCCTTCGTCATCCTCTTCCTCCCTGGTCCTCGCTCTCCCTCCCGTCTCCGTCCTCTTCCTTCGAGTCTTTGTGCTCGTCCCCCTCCCCACCCGTCCTTCTGGGCGCTGAACCTCCACAGGCGGTCGTCATTGGTGTCTGTGCTCCGCGTTTTGCGTTCTTCCGTGCCCATCTCAGCGATTATTTCGGCCATCGTGGTCTCTCTCGCTCCCTCTCCCTCTCTCTCTCTCGCTCTCTCTCGCTCTCTCTCTCTCTCTCTCTCTCGTGTCTTTCTCTCTCTCTCTCTCTCTCGCCGCAAGGGCTCCGGCCTTCGCCTCCGCCCGTCTGCCAATGCGGCGCCTGCCGTGGCAAGGCCACGCAGCTCCGGAAGCGATGGCCTGCATGTGCTCCAAGGAGGAGGAGGAGGAGGAGAAGGAGGGGGAGGAGGAGGAGGAGGAGGAAGGGATGCTGATGCTGATGCTGATGCTGATGCTGATGCTGATGATGATGACGAAGAGGAGGAGGAGGAGGAGGAGGAGGAGGAGGAGGAGGAGCTTATTTTCCACGGGTGGTGCCGCCCAAAGCGCCGGGTCGCCCAAGAAGTCTCTCGTGCGCAGCGCGGTGTCGTCACGCTGGTGCGCCCCGCACGGAGTCACCAGGGGCCTCCGCTGCATTCCGCGAGCACTGTTCTTCGTTCAGCTCAAGCGGCAGGGTCGGGTGGACTTGAAGGAGGAGGAGGAGGAGGAGGAGGAGGAGGAGGAGACGAGCACAGGAGGAACAGGATGGGAAGAGAAGGCGGAGAAGACCGCTGTGATTCTGACATGCAGTTGTTGGTGGCCATCTATGGTCCTCCTCCTCTTCCTGGTCCTCTTCCTCCTGCGCGATGTCCTCCTCGTCGCGTGCTCCATTATGTTCCTCATCATCATCCTCCTTCTTAGCCACTGCCGTTTCATCTCATTCTGCCTCATCCAAATCCAGTGTTTGTTCCCGAAGCTGTCCTTGCACTTAGGGGTTCCTGCTTCTCTTCTAAGGAACTAGACCTGGTTGTCGGTCCGGCCGGCTTTGGCCGCCCGTCGCCGCCATCCCTGGCCACGATTTTGATTGTGCGAGATTCGCACCTTGCATTTCTTCGCATTGCCTCGCATTGCCAAATGCTTGCACTTAGGGATTCTCATTTCTTTTCTGACCAACTAGGCCTGGTTGTCGGTCCAGCCAGCTTGTGGCCGCCCAGCGCCGCACTTCGTCGCCGTCTTTGGTCACGAGTTTGATTGTGCGAGGCTCGCACTTTGCATTGCAACGCATTGCAATCGCATGGCATTGCAATCGCATTGCTCTGCATTGCTTTACAGTTCTTTGCATTTACATTGCATTGCAATCGCACTTCTTTGCATTGCTTTGCACCATTGCACCACATGGATTGCACGACCTAGACTGCACCGCATGGATTGCACCACCTAGATTGCACCGCATATATTGAAGGAAATCTCTGCTTCGGGTGCACGCTGGCGAATATTCTGTATAGATCGTGCCATCTCGCCGTACCACCAGACGTCTCTGTAGGGCAGGGCGTCTCCCGTGAGACGCCCTCGCAGCACGAGATCCGAAGGTTCACCGACATGTCGAGAATGCAGCAGCTGCTACGATGGATACGACGTGTTCCGAAATGTGGTTCTCGCATGAGGCTTCTCGGGGCCCGCTGCGTGTTCAAGCGACTCGCTCCGGGGATGGTTGCCCGGGAGCCTTGGAGGGGAGTTGGCCTACCTTGCGCCGCCGGCTTCTAATCTGAAGCCCTCTTAGCTCTCAGAGAGTCGTGCCGAACGAGAGGAGGCGATAGGGAAAGGGGGGGGGTACGAAATCTGCTGCATGCAGCTGGTTTCGGCCCCGCCGCCGGGCCCATTCCTCGATGCATGGGCGCCTCCCGGCGCCGGGAGGCGCCGGGAAAATCGGCCACGCGAGTTGGTTCTCAAACCCCCCCTTTGCTATCCCCTCCTTTTTCGCCCGGCCCGAGAGAGCTATCCAGGGAAAGTCGGGGGCGGAAAAGAGGGGGGTGATGACTAGGGGGGGGGTGGATATCATGGCGGGGGCCATGATGTTTCCCCAGATCTCGTGGCGCCTCTTCTTATTTCATTACGTCCCTGGCCCCCCCGCTGGGCCGCGCACATGCAGCCGGTCATGATGTGCACCCCCCCCCTCTTGGACACCCCCCTCTTGGCCGCTCCCGAGCAGGACTTGCGAAGAGGCTTCCCGCACGCGAGCTGGGAAAACGCCCCGCGCACGCTCCGTCTCTCACAGCACCTCGGGCAGCTGCGCCAGCGGAGGGCGGGCGGCGGGCACGCGCGTCCGCAGCAGCTGCCCGCCGCTGCGCGCTGCACGGATGGCAGGGGGCTGCTTTGTTGCGCTGCCGTCGCACCACGGATGTGGCACGCAGGCTCCTGGCATCTCGGACAGCCAGGACGTCGAGAGCACGGACCGCTCGTGCTCGCAAGGGGCTCGCTGTCATCCAGGCCCTTCCATGCTTGTTCCTCCTAGCGCTCCTGTGGCTCTCAGGCGCTCTTCGGGCGCCAAGAAGGGGCTTCGACCTTTGCGTCGCGCTCCTCGTGGCTGCAGCTTGACTGCGCCGCCTGCGCGAGTGGACGGCGCCTCCCTCTGAGACTGACTTGCACCGAGCCTGAACACGCGGACGGCATTTCTGGCTCAGCGTATCGCGCCGCCGGTTCTGACCCAGCACGCTTCGGCACGACATGATAAGCACGTCCCCGCTTCCAAGCGTCAACGTCCCGAGCCTTCCCCGGCGGAGAGGAGCGACACGCTATCCGCTTGCACGGCATAGCGTGTCGCCAGGGCCGCCGCCGCGGCGCGTCGAGCAAACGTTCTTGACCGCAGCACCGCTGACGCACCCTTCCAGAGCAGGCGAGGCTCCCCCCTTGAAGGTCCAAGTGGCCCCACGGCGTCTCCGGCGGGCGCTCGCCGCAGCCCACAAGAGGTTCTCGCGTTGACACGTGGCTCGAGGAGGGGGCTGCTCGGTCGGACGAACCTGGGGGGGGATGGCAACCGAGAGGGGGGTAGCGAATCAGCTCACGCAGCTGGTTCTCCCAGCGCCGGGGCGTCCAGCGGCGTGGCCGAAACCGGCTGCACGCAGCAGGTTTCGCAACTCTTTTTTCCCAATCCCTTTTCAGGATATGGGACAGGAGACCGTAGTACAGCGCCATTGGCGCGTGCCGGGTTTGGTGTTGTCGTCCTCCACTGGAGGTCGGAGGACCCCAGGGACTTCCAGAGGTGCCCCGAGGTGTTTGGAAACATCCCAGAGCCCAAAAAAAGGCGAAGAAGAAAACACACAAATAGGTCCTACTTCCGAGTGGTCCCCAAAAGTTCCCAAAATTTCCAAGGCATCCCAGAACATCTTGTGAAGTCCCCAGATGCCCCTGGAGGATCAACAAGCGCTGAGCATACTTTTCGAGTGTTCTAACAGGAAGCGGGACCCAAAACTTTGGTCCTGATTCACCTCCTCCCCAGAACCGCTATGACTTGCCTTACTATAATTATTGTTCGTCGTACTTGTCTGTATCGCCGCGATGACCCACCATCCACTACCATCATCAACGGCAGCATAATAATCATGTGATGTACTGCCAGAAGGCTGCGAGGATGTTTGGGGTCTTGATTATAAGCACCGTCGTCTCTGCAGGTGTGTGGCTCAAGCGGCAGCAGTCAAACCCTTTTCCGCCTCCCCTCTGCCCGAGCGAATGGGCACCGCCTGTACATATCGCTGCGCCCGCCATGTCCGTCGCCGTGACGGCGGCGCTGAGGCAGGGCGCATCAATCAAGCACGCCGTCGCGCACGAGGATAAAGCAAACGCCGGAGTCATAATGGGCGTCGTCAGGCCAAACCTCCCTGCTCGACCGGAAGGGGCGGGCTACGAGGTTGAGTACTTCGGCGCTGGTGACTCGCGTTCCGGTTAGTGGGTCTGTGTAGAATGGAATGAGAAGTTATCATGCATGCGTGTCCGGATATTTCGTCCAAGTGCCGATGCTAAGCCCCATCCGCCAAGCATGATGTCTTGCACACCCGAGCTCACGTTGTTATGACAGCGGCTGGCGCCGAAGATGTTCACATGGAGCTGCTGCAGGAGGGTGGGAATCAGTCGGCTCTGCCCGCCGATGTTACCAAGGCTGCTCTCGACGGTGACGGAGCCGCACCCGTGGTGGAGGCCAACAGCGGAGCAGCGGTGCCCAAGCAGCGGCCGGAAGGGGCAACGAGCATCCTGGACGAGGATGACGTCGTCGAGGACGAGGACGACAATTAGGCTTTTTCGGGCGGGACTTCATGGCCCTGCAGGGCAAGGCCGAAAAGAAGGGCGCTAGCAAGAAGGATGAGAAGACGGAACACCAGACCCGCGCAGGCAAACCCACGGAGAAGCTGGACGCGATTCGCGGTGGAGGGGCGGCTGCAGCGGCGGCCCTTGCCGCCGCACCCAAGAAGAAGGAAAAACTCGGTGGGGTCGTCCAGGCACGGATCCCGGACCAGGATCGCCCGCCGCCACCGCCGCCCAATCACGCGCCTTCTCAGGACCAGTCGGCCGATGAGAAGACGGCCCTCCACACGTTGGCCAAGCATTTCAAAGGGGCAGGGATGACGACGCGGCCTCGGACAGCGGCGATGGGCAGACCCCCGGTAAGCGGCCCGTTGCGGCGAGGAGGCTGGCCTACAAGAAGATCGCGGAGAAACGCTTTGGCCGCCCGTCGAAGAAGGAGGCACAGAATACGGCGAGGTTTTTACCTAACAGCTTTTGCTGATAAGTTTCTAGTGGTCTCAAAAGAGAGCAGCAGATGACTCCACAGGGGGGTCGGGGCGGGACCCGGGGCGGTGCCGCCGAAGCCCAAATCGCTTGGGACATCCTCGCAAAATCGCTCTTGGCGCTGCTAGAACTCCATCCCCGGCGTACATTTTGGATGCCCGGAGCCAACTGTAGGCCACTTCGTGGTCTTCGAGTTCCCAGAACTCCATTCCCGGGCCACATTTTGGATGCCCGGAGCCAACTGTAGGCCACTTCGTGGTCTTCGAGTTCCCAGAACTCCATTCCCGGGCCACATTTTGGATGCCCGGAGCCAACTGTAGGCCACTTCGTGGTCTTCGAGTTCCCAGAACTCCATTCCTGGGCATGATTTTGAATGCCCGGAGCCAACTGTAGGCCACTTCGTGTTCTTCTAGTTCCCAGAACTCCATTCCTGGGCCACATTTTGAATGCTGAGGCAGGCTGATGCTGCGGCCGAGGCAGGCTGAGGCTGAGGCAGGCTGAGGCTGAGGCCGAGGCTGAAGGCAGACTGAGGCTGAGGCTGAAGCAGACTGAGGCTGAGGCTGAGGCAGGCTGAGGCTGAAGCAGGCGGATGCTGAGGCAGGCTGAGGCTGAGGCTGAGGCTGATGCAGGCTGAGGTTGAGGCAGGCTGAGGCTGAGGCCGAGGCCGAAGGCAGACTGAGGCTGAGGCTGAAACAGGCTGAGGCTGAGGCAGGTTGAGGCTGAGGCAGGCTGAGGCTGAGGCTGAGGCAGGCTGAGGCTGTGACTGCGACTGCCGTTGCCGCTGCGACTGCCATCGCGAATGCGACTACGACTGCGAGAACAGCAGAATTCTACAACTGGATTTTCATTTGAATCTTATGGGAAATGCTTTCAGATATGCTTCTACACATCGCTGTTAGGTTGCTTTGCCGGGATAATTCTATTACATATATATATATATAAATATATTGAGAGCCCGGCGCCGCCGGTGCACACGGTCGCGCGCCAGCGGCGGTCAAATTCTAGACGATCTGCGCGCCCCCACCAGCCCGCCCAGAAACAATACCCAGGCAAGTTGAGGCGGTCAGGGAAGTGCGGGAGCAAAGAAGGGGGCGGCCGAACCGCGCGAAGGAGGGAGGAGGAGATGGAGGCTGGATGGGTGGATGAGAGAGTAGGAAGAAACAGGATGTATAGGATGAGAAGGAGGAGGAGGAGGAGGAGGAGGAGGAGGAGGAGGAGGAGAAAGAAGAAGAAAAGGAGCGGGAGGAGGAAGGAGGAAGAAAGAGGAGCAGGAGGAGGACGAGGGCAAGCAAGAGAGCCAGGGGTCTCTTGAATACCATTCGGAGCCCTTTGGGGTATCTCTTGAGCGCTTCATGGTGGCCTCTTGGGCCTCTCGGGGGGATTTTGGCGGTCTTGGGGGGCTTTTGGGCGTCTCTGGTCCCTCGGGGGGGCCTCGGGGGGCCGCTCGGGGCCCTCTCGGGGGCCTCCTGGGGGCCTCCTCTTGGGGGCCCATGGGGGCCATCTTGGGGTCTCTCGGGGCCCCCAAGGCGCTTCTTGGGGCCAGCTTGGAGGGCATCGGTCAAAGACGACAGGGGGCCCCTCTGTAGCGTTTCCCCCCCCCCCCAAAGGCCAACATGGGACCAAAACCCGAGTAACAAAAAACAGCAAGGATGTTGGCTTCCTCGCCAAGGCTGCTTTGGACGCCCTGACCGCTCGTGGAACCCCGCGTCCCCGAGGACAAGAAAGGAGGTGGGAGAGGAAACCCCCTAAACCACCTACGCCCAGAGGGCCGGTGGGAATTCCTCATCGGGCCACGGGCCTGCTCATCTCATTCGAGAGATCGGAGAAGGGCAGCGCATGAAACCGAGCGCCCTTGCAGAGGCGGCGGACTTGACTGTCACGGGCAAGCCAGCGAGGCCCTTGGATTACATATTCTGCCGCATGAAGGCGTTACAGAAGACCACGCGCGATGGACACCCACGCACAGCGTAGTGGTTCGAGCTCGCCCCCCCCGACAACGGTGGCCCAAGCCCGTCGGCCGAGGACAAGGAGCTCGCGTCAGTCATCGACGTGGCGGAGCGCGCGCGTCCCAGCTGTTGGGGCACTTGCGCGGTGGAGGCCCCGCCGCGTTCGCTGGCCACCACGCCAGCCGGGGCGGCGGCAGCGGCTCAGCTGACAGAGAAGCTTAGCCGATTGTCGACGCCGGCACCCTGGACGACGCCGCGATGCTCCGCGACCAGATCCGCGCACGCCAACAGCCCGGCCGCCCCCTTGTTGGCTCGCTTGCGGGGGGCATCCCAGGCCGCCCCCAGGCTTTGCAGGATGCCCGTGGGCCGCCAGGGAGTGGCACGCCCGCCCTGACAGACACCCCGAACTCCCCTCGGGCGATGGACGGATCGCCCCCGTCAGCGCGGGCCGCGGCCCGGGCGGCCACGCCGCGCGGGGATGAGAGGGCGTAACAAGCAGTTGGGGAGGCGGACAGCGCAGGAAGTCCCGAAGGAGAATACTTGGGACACAAATGAAGCAAGGCCTGGGGGCGCGGCGAAACGGGCCTTCCAGTCCAAACGGTCGCCCCGTCGAGTGACGCGGCCGCCAGTACCAACGCGGCCACGCCACCGCTGGGGCGCTGGAGGGGCTGACTTTGCCAGCCGCCATTGCCGCGGTGGACCTTGCAGGGTTGCGACCTAGGCGTGGCAGGGCAGCTGAGCTGCTCCAGTCGGCCCACGCTCGTGAGGGCGGATGACGTCGCCGAGGATGGGCTGCTCTCGTCGCGTGCGTGGGGTTCTTTCCTTCGAGCGCACTTGATCATCGCACCAAGACACGGGCGGTGCAACGCCAAGACAGGACCCCCCAAACAATCATCATCAACAGAATCATCACCTGCAGCGTCATCAGAACTGCCAGCGCGTATGCCGTTGTTACCATTGACAACAGTCCGCCCTTGCAATTATCACCAACACTGCCGTTGTTACCATCATCGCCAACACTGCGCAATCGTCGCTAGTCCCGCTGGCCTGCACTTTTCTTGCTACCTTCATCATCGTCATGCTAATCGTCACCATCATCACCATCACCATCGTCATGTACCATCGTTCGCCATCATCATCCTCATCCGCATCAGCATCATTCTATTCATCTGCATCGTCATAGTAGTATTCAGCATGTGAACAAGCATCGTCAGCATCATCATCATCATCATCATCGTCAAGATCAGCAACTTCAGCAGCAGCAGCAGCAACATCATCGTCACAATTCCTCCGCATCACCAAAATCACCCGCATTCTCATGAGTTCCGCTTTGGTCAGTATCAACATCTGCATCGCGCATCATCGGCATCACCACCACGACCCTCATGTTCGCCACGGCTGGATGCGCTTCGAAATTCCGGGACGGCGATCGACGTGGTTGCACTGCCCTGTTCGCGGGCACCTCCAGGAAACACTCGGGGTCTCGTGGTTGGCCAGGGTTTCAGTGGCAACCCAAGTGAAGGTTGGTCGGTGGGTGGCAGTTGTGGTTTGAGTTCTGCCCATCGACAGGGGGATCACCACCATCCTCGCTCATCACCACCACCACCACCACCATCATCATCACCCCTCTTCCTCATTAGTCCTCGCTCCTCCGCCGCGGTTTCTGCTCACTTGGTAGAAGGTATCCGCTGCCGGGCACTCGCCGCGGCCCCAGCCGCGGACCCTGGCGGAATAGACGGTCGCGCTGCGATCCACAAAAAACATCCCGTCGCTCCTCCTCCGAAACCTCCTTTTACTCCTAGTTCCTTGTTCCTGGCTCCTCGTTCCGGGTTCATCCTCCTCCTGCGTCGCTCTGGGTTTTTCGAGAACATGGGACTGTGAGGCCCCCCGAGGTTCGAGAGGAGGCGGAGCCGCAGCAGCAGCAGCAGCAACAGGAGGGGTGGAGAAAGAGAAAAGGAAAGGAGGAAGGATGATGAGGTTGTCTACAGAACAGGAGGAGGAGGAGGAGGAGGAGGAGGAGGAGGAGGAGGAAAGGGAAGCGGAATAGGAGGATTCTTTGTAGAGGGAACTCCTGCTTGAGAGGTCAAAAAAACCCTTGGTGGAGGAAGAAGCTCCCGCTTGATAAGTGGGAAAAACAAGGAACAAACAAACAAACAAACAAACAAAAACGGGAGGAGACTGCCGCCGGAGAGGTCTCAGAAAAAACGCGACCCAAACAAAACAAACGTGACGGGGTTCCCACCAGCGAGTTCTCTCCCGCCCCCCCCCCCCCTAAAAACAACAACAGCAACAATAACAACAACAACAACAACAACAACAAAACAACAAACACAAGGAAACATGCTTATCATCCTTGCAACTGCCCCAAGAAAAAAGGAGACGGCGGCCCTCGCCAATGCATCTGAGGTTGGAACGTGTGGGTTTTATGGTTGCGTGCGACAGTTAGGAGGATGAGACGCATGGTGGTTGGGTTTCTTGGGGTTTTCTGGGGGCCTCTCAGGCGGGAGCCTCCTCCTCCTCCTCCTCCTCCTCGTGTTTTCTAGGGCCTCGCAGGCGGGAACTCTCTCCCCAGAGGGTTGCTCTAGGAACTCTCAGGCGGGAGCCTCCTCCCCAGAGAGTTTCCGGTGGACCTCTCAGGGAGGTGGCCTTTCCCACAGAATTGTTTTGGATCTCTCAGGCGGGAGCCTCCTCTTCAGTGTTTGCTGGGACCTCTTCTTGGCATCGTTCGGACGTGTGCATGTTTTCATCGGTGAGGACCATCGAGGAGCATCCTTGATCACTCGGCGAAAAAACCACACACACACACACACACCCACACACACACACACACACACACACTGACACGAAACCGAAAAGAACACAGGGAATGGACGTCCGAGCGATGGCGAGTCTTAGGCGGGAGCCTCCTTTCTTTTCGGGGTGTTACTTTGGAGGATCTGTCGATCGACAGCTTCCTCATCCGAGGCCTCGGCGTCCCCCGCGAGAGCCACATCTGGCTCAGGTCCCGCGGGACTCTCCAGGCGGCAGCCCCTCGTGGTCCCAGTCGAGTGGCGAAGGCGGTGGTGGTGACGACAGTGCCGCCAGGAGGAGGAGGAGGAGGAGGAGGAGGAAGAGGAGGAGGAGGAGGAGGAGGAGGAGGAGGAGGAGGAGGAGGAGGGGGAGGGGGGGGAGGATCAGCCCCACCACGCGATCGGATTCATGCCAACAACGTTTCGAGGAGGGGGGAGGATCACCCCCACCACGCGATCGGGTTCATGCCAACCACGTTTCGAGGAGGGGGGAGGATCAGCCCCACCACGCGATCGGGTTCATGCCAACCACGTTTCGGAGGAAAGGCATCTACAGGAGGAAACCCAGCAGCAGCATCGCGCAATGCTCTTGCGGTCGGTCGTAACACTCGGAGGGCACCCCGTTTTGGCACATGGAGTGCAACACTCAAATTACTCGGGGCGCAATGCTCTTCAAGTGTTACAGGCGCAATCCTTGTTCAGGATCAGAATGATAGTGGGGGGATACGCAGCAGCAGGGCGGAATGTTTTTGTTTTTGATTTTTTTTTTTTACCAGCAGGGGCGAAGGGCGCAATGCTCTGGGAGGACGAGTGCGATACTCCAATAAGCTGGGCGCAAGGCTCTCCACATGGGCGGCATGCCCAGGGTGCGAGTGTGACGCAATGTCCGTTTTGCTTTTCGGCGCAATGCCGATGATTAATGGGCGCGACGTTTCTCACGTGGGCGAAGTGCCGAATGTTCACGTTGAAGCGCAATGCCTGCCTCGAGCGTAATGTCCAAAGGGTAATTTTATATTCTCCCCCCTCCGGATCCACCATCCTTTTCTCTTCCTTGCTATCCCCCCGCCCCTCCCTCGTCGCCGCGTTGGGTCCGACGCGCCCCCTTCTGCCCGCGAGACATTGGATTCGTTCGGCCGAACGAGCACGGAGTGCCACGCCCGTCCATCTAGGCCGCTGGATGTCCACACTCAGCACATACTGAAAATAATTGCATCAACAATCGTCGATTGAGGTCACCATCGGTTTTTCTGCCCCGCGACACATTGGATTCCCGGGGGGCAGCCTGGGCGCGCATCTGGGCCGGCAGATGTCTTTAAAAAGCACGCCACAACGCATGTGCATAAGCCGTAGCCAATTGAAAGTTAGCACGGTGGCCCCAAGTCGCGCCCCTCGCCCGCGAGCCTTTGGACCCCTTTTGGCCAAGCGAACGCGGAGGCAGCCAGCGCGCGCCCACAGGCCGCCGAAGGTTTACGCGCAACACACATAAAGGTACTTGTAAGCCGTGGCTGGTTAAGAAAGCAGCACGTTAGCTCCACTGCGTTTTCTTGCCCCGCGAGACCATGGACCCCTTCGGCCCAACGAGCACGGGGGCAGCCCGCGCGAGCAGCCAGGCCGCCAGAGGCCCCCAAACAGCACGCAATAACGCATGCATTTGAGCAACGGTCGATTAAAAGTTAGCACGTCGGTTCCAAGTCGCGCTCTTGCCCGCGAGACCTTGGATTCTTTCGGCAAAACGAGCGCGGGGGCATCCCTCCCCCGTCGCCTTCCTCCCCCGTCGCCCTCTCCCCCCTCCTTTCTGACCTTTTCTCTCTCGCGGAAATTCAGGCTCGACGTTTGCCGTCGCGCGCCTTCGGTCTCACTCCGAGTGACCAACTCCCCCTGCCCACCGACCGAGCCAGATGGCCATCTTGCCCCGCGCCGCCCCAGCCAAAGGGCAGACGCCCTTCGAACTCCGCCCAGGCGCGTTCAACGCGGACTCAACGCACAACGGACGCCGCCGAGCACGACTCGAAGCGCCCCGCGTTCAAAGTGATCGGAGGACGGAGAAGCGGCGCCACCGTCCAGCGCGGACGACCACGACGCCTCCCCCCGCCGGGAATTCGGGGCGTCTCGCGCAGGGGGCGGGGGGGGGGCCCGCCGCCAGGAGACCCCCTTTGGCTCCTCGCCCCGGCGGCGATGCCGCCGCCCTTCCTTGCCCCGAAGACGACGGCGCCCCTGGCGGCGACGCGGCGCGTCGGGGAGCGGGCCGAGGCGCTGCGCCAGATGTGGGCGGAGCCCTTCCAGCAAGACGGGCCGGTCTCGGAGCGGGCGCGCGGGGCGCCCGCCGGCTCGCGGCCTCGCCACCGGGGCCGAGCGAGGGGCCCGCGGCCCAGGGCGCGCCGACACCCAGGTTGGCGTCGGCATCTGCGGCGAGCGTCGCGGGGTAGACGCGGGCACTGCGTCCGCGCCGCGCGGGAATTTTGTCGCGGGCGCCTTCAACCGCGCGTTTGTTCGCCCAGTGGTTTGGAATTTCAATCCGCGCGCCAGCCCCGGCACCCGCGCGCCCCGCTGCGCGCGGGCCCAGTCTGCCCACCGCCGCCGCGTCATCACGCAGTCCACGCGCCACGTTACCGGCAGCATAGCGCTTAGAATAATACCATCGCCGTGATTTCGCGCCGACAGATGAAACTGCAGACCCACGCGCTCGATCACCTCCGAGGCCCATCATCCGCATCGTCTGTCTGGCCAACCCACGCGACCCATGTCCTCGGCCCGTCGCCCGCGTCGCTCGCTCGGCCGGCGCGCCAACGGAGACGGCGCCATCGGTTCGATCAGGGCGGCGCTTGGGTCGCTGATAAACAGCGGCGGCGCCGCCCCTCTGCGGCGGCGCAACCATGGCAACCACCTGCGCCCAGCAACTCGATTGCCCCCCCCCCCCGCGAGGGAAGTTGGGCTCGAAATAGCACGCTGAGGCTACGGGGCATATCCCACGCCACCGACACGCGGTTCACGTCGTCGCCACTGCGGCTGCCCATGCTCGAAAGCAGCGCTAATTCGGCCCGTCGCGCCCGAGGCCCCCGCGCTGCCTGGCGCCCCCCGAAGACGCGCCCGAGATAGGGGGCTTGATCTGCAGCGCGCGGCGGGCGCGGGAGAGCCATCCGAGACGCATTTTGGGAGCGTTTGCATTGCAGTGCCCCGATGCTGAAACGGCCCGACATGTCCAGCGCGCTACGCGACCTCCACTGCGCCGCGGATTTCACCGCCATGCCCTGGAGGCTCGCGAACAAATTCTGCATTCTCGTCTACGGCCCGAACGCCATGCGGGTCGGCTCCGAAAGGAGCTACACGCCGACGGTGACCAGGCCCAAGCAACCAGGCATGGCTTTCGTCAGCAGCAAGCGGGCTCTTACCATGAGTTATTTGCCCTATCGCGTAAACCCTATGTTCAGCTCGTCCCCCACGGCGACTGGCATCGATTGCGTCACCAAGGTGACCTTCGCGGGCCAATCAGGGCAAGAACACGGGGGGCCGTTTGCGACCGATCACGGGAAGCCCCGCCTCGACGCAGCGATGCACGTGCTCGCATCGAAGGAGACGCAGGCCATGGACGAGCACACGGGACCTGGGCATCGTCATCGGCAAGGAGGTCAGCGACGCCACCTCCACTTCGCCCGAGGAAAGGGGGCGCCCCTCGTCGGCGACGGGCGCCAGAAGGCCAACGCGGAGTGCACTGACGAAAGTACGAAGGCGGGCACAGCCCGCAAGGAGCCCCCAGCGACGAAAGGAGCGGCAAAGACAGCCACGCGCGGGCCCACGAAGGTAGCGTGCAAGGCCATCTTGAGGAGGAACGGCCTCCACGCGGAGCACTACGGCCTAGGGCAGCGATGCTCGAGAGGCCCGCCGCCACGGCGCTCAAGGAGCCGGCCGCCGCCGAGGCCGCGGAGAAGAAGTCGCCCGCCGCCGCGATCAGAGAGACGACGCGGCACCA